GATCAAAATGTTCAGTAATGGGAGCTGGGCATCATCCAGTTCTTCTGGTCTCATGGCAAAAGAGGCAGTTGTTCATGGAAGCAATTAGCGACACATTCTTTATCCTCCTGCTATTCCTGACTTTCTTTTTTCTTCTGTTGGTCCAGACAAATAGAGACCAATTGTTGTGCCTTGGATGGCTGCTTGCAAGATTTTAAGACCTCAGGCACTATGCAATGAACTAGAAGGTAGAACAGAAGCACTAAACATATTATTAGGCCAATTAACTGGGATGGCCAATGAAACCATGATGCTAAAATTCCAAACCAAGGAACCAAATCCTAGGAGGTTTTTGGTTGTACATAAGCAGTCTCAGCAGTTACTCTTTTCTTTTTTTTGGTCACTGTTGTAAATATCTGTCACGTAACTTTTGCCAATTCAACTTTTTCTAGGTGTACAACTTATTGACAGCAATTACAATAATTGGCTGTGCAACCCTACCCTCAATCAGTGTGATTTTTCCGTCACCATTAACAAACCCTTTCAACCTCCCTCCTGCCCCTGGTTAAAAAAAACAAACAAAAACCACCATTGCTGTTGAGTTGATTCCTATAACCACTAAATAAACTTTGGTCTCTATACATTTGCCTTTTCTCGTCTTTTTATATAAACCAAAAAATCAAACCCATTGTCATCAAGTCGATTCCGACTCACAGCAACCCTATAGGACGAGTAGAACTGCCCCATAGGGTTTTCAAGGCTGTAAATCTTTACAAAAGCAGACTGCCACTTCTTTCTACCCCCAAGTGGCTGGTAGATTCAAACTGCTGACCTTTTGGTTAGCAGCCTGAGCTCTTAACCACTGTGACACCAGTGCTCCATCTTTTTATATAAGGCCATACAATATTTGTCCTTTTGTGATTGACTTATTTCACTTAGCACAATGTCTTTAAGCTGCATCCATATTGTAGCATGTATCAGAATTTGGTTTCCCCAGCTGCCTGAGTAGTAGTCCATTGTATGTATCTACCACTTTTTGTTTATCCATTCATCTGTTGATGGGCATTGAGGTTGTTTCCACCTTTTGGCTTTTGTGACTAGTGCTGCAATGAATGTTGGTGTATAAGTCTCTGTTAGAGTCTCTGCTTTCAAGTTTTGTGGGTATACACGTAGGAGTGAAATTGCTGGGTCATATGGTAGTTGTCTTTTCAGTTTTTTAAGGAACTGTGTGGCCTAGCCTTAAATGGAATTTTAAAGAACAATAAAATTGAACAGGCTATAGCTACACATATCAACATTGCTGAATCTCACATTCATAATATTCTGTGAAAGAACAAAGTCACAAACGAAAACCTATAGTATGGCTCTTTTTATATAAAGTCCCCAAACAGGCAGATAACTAGTGTTGTTGTTAGGTACTATCAAGTCGTTCCAACTCATAGAGACCCCTTGTACAATAGAACACAACACTGTGCCATCCTCACAATCATTGCTATGTTTGAGCCTATTGTTGCAGCCACTGTGTCAATCCATCTCATTAATAGTCTCCCTCTTTTTTACTGATCCTCTGCTTTACCAAGCATGATGTTCTCCAGGGACTAGTCCCTCCTGATATGTGAGGCTAAGTCTTGCCATCCTCACTTATAAAGAGCATTCGGACTGTACTTCTTCCAAGACAGATTTGTTCAGTCTTCTGGCACTCCTTGATATATGGTATATTCAATATTCCTTGCCAATACCATAATTCAAAGGCATCAGTTCTTCTTTGGTCTTTTTATTCATTGTCCAGCTTTTGCATATATATATGAGGCAACTGAAAATACCATGTCTTGCGTCAGGCAAACCAGGTGATGTATTTGCTTTTGAACACTTGAAAGAGGTCTTTTGCAGCAGGTTTGCCCAATGCATTATGTTGTTTGATTTCTTGACTGCTGCTTCCACGGGCTTTACTTGTGGATCTAAGTAAAATGAAATCCTTGACAACTTCAGTGTTTTCTTCTTTCATTACGATGTTACTTATTGGTCCAGTTGTGATTAACAGGCACGTAAATTGTAGGGAGGCAAAACTATTAAGAAAAGCAAGGAAATTATTATTATGAAAATCATAATAGTAGTTGACTCTGGAAGTGGGGGTTGTGATTAGGGTTGAGCACTTTGGAATTTTCTTTAAAAAAAAGAAAAGAAGAATCACTTCCAAGATTAAATATACATCCATGTCCTATACCTCCTATACCTATATCTGTAATATTTTATAATGTCCATTGATTTCTCAGAGGTATGGAAATATCCAGAATTGTTTTTTAAGAGTTAATTGTAATCTAAAAACTTTACTTACTTGAAGCAGGAAGGTAGCTGATTAGCTGACAAATATTAGTGAGATTATTAAAACGTGTTGCTTAGTCTTCAGTAAAAACCAAAACCAAACCCATTGCCGTTAATTTCGACCATAGTGACCCTTTAAGACAGAGTAGAACTGCCCCATAGGGTTTCCAAGGAGCGCCTGATGGATTTGAACTGCCAACCTTTTGGTTAGCAGCTGAACTCTTAACCACAATCTTCAGTAAAGAATTAAAATATGAAAACTACTTGATCCTCCCAATACTTAATTGAGATTTTACTGTATGTATCAGATATAATTACTAGGAGAAAAATATATAGTACTTTTTTTTACCCAAAACATGGAAACAATTTAGTTTAGCCTTGCAGATATCCCCTCACTTGTGTTCCTATGGCCAATAATATTAGGTAAGACCCTTGACTTGCGTGCATTGGTAATTTGTGCATATACACTCAGATCCATTTCAAAATAATAAATGTTCGTTTCTTAAAGACCCATAAGGGTTTTGCTTATATTTTTTTCACATGATGCTTCATTGTATTGTAAATATACACTGGGAAAAGAGAATAAGACTTGTCTAGTTATTTAATTACACCACATTGATACAAAGCAATAGGTGCTTTTAAAGAACTAAAAAGAAAATATGCTTTTGGGATAAACTCACTCAGAAGCATTTTGTCCATGGGTGCCCACAGTGCATGGTGTTCTTGGTTGTCTGAAGACCCTTGCAGATGGTCATCTAATATGGTATTTTTAAAGAGTAAGGACCATTTAATACCTTGAAACAAGAACTTTAAATGGTGTAATTATTCTTGCTTCCTCCTAGGTTAAGCCAATTTTCAGTTTGCCACTAGCAAAGAATTTATTCCTCGGGGTATCTATCCTGAGACTCTTCTTTGGAGTCCAAGTAATTCTTCCTCTAATTTTTTAAGCTAATTTTCTATAATCCTAAACATAATTAAGTGTAATTATTTTTAGCAGATTCTGAGCTGGTACACTTTAGGTGAATCTATCCTATACTTTCTTTGTCATAATATTGGTAAATATTTTTCACCTATAGGACCCTTCACTTAGACAATTCAGTACACAATTTTTAACTTTTCTATTGATTTATAGTCATACTTGACATGTTATTTTATTTTTATTTTTATTACATATTTAATTCCTTTCATAAAGGCATTTATACTTATGTCATAGAGTGTGAAACTGATATTTTAGAAGGAAATTGGGTAATTAAAATACTAATTAAGTATAATAAGCAGCAGATTAAAAGTGTTTTGTCATGAAAACTGGATAGCTGGCTAAAAAGGGTTTTTCTTTATTAGTTAGATACCTTCAGCAGTGACAACTGAAATGACTGTAATACTCAATAGTAAAATAAATCTATATTAATACATTCAATATTCCAATCTACATATTTTTTACTAATTAAACAATTAACCTAGAGGGGCATAAATGAAAGGGAAGGAGTGTAAAGAAGATAGTGTTCTATCACTTGGGTCTCTGAATCAATTATGTTAGGAATAATCTGATTCAACTTCTGAAAGGTATTAATTTGTTGCTGTGCTTTACATTTTTATATAGAAAATTAACTTTTACATTGTAATAGTGTGACAAAATTTTAAATGAATTTGAAACTCAGTATTGTACATGATTCTTTCTTACTTATCTATAAATGAAAATTTACACTGTCCTAAATAACAGTTGAGGAACTTCTACTTGTGAAATTATTTTCCTTTGGCAATGTGGATGGAAAAGATTTGGGGGAAAAAAAAAAACATAAGTGCTGGCACAATTGACAGGAATGTTGGAAAAAATTTTTAAATGTTGGCATAGGAATTCTTTAAAAATTCTAACTTACTCACATGTGAAATGAAAGTAAAAAAGCATCTGTCCTATTTTATGCACACTGACTAAATAAAAATGAACAATTATATTTAGCAAAGTATAAAGCTCTTTAAACTAAGATATTCTGTCTGGCTTTTGGCGATCTTTATGTTATTTGTTCCATTGAATTAAAATATTATGTTTGAGTGCAGGCATACTTTGAAAAGCAAAAATTATAGAGAGTGAACATTCTCTTTCCAACTCTGATGACCCTAGATGAAATATGAAATTTTGGAGAGACTAAACACTTCTAATATACTTGAGAGGAGAACTTTGGATCTTGGCCTCATCTGTGATTCAGCCCATTTATTACTGATATATTTAAAAATGTATGGACATGTCTTACCACAGCACCTATTTTTCTGCCCAAGGTGGAAGCGTATAGATTAGGTCTTTAAGGATTACAACCACAAATTTTTTTTTTTAATTTTCCACATTTCATGTTTTTAATTCTACTACCAGATGTGGTTATATTTTCAGTGAAAACAAACAAGAGGCTTAGAGAATATGAAATTCTGTTTTGATTCCTTAGGAAATTAGTTTAATGGCCAACATGACATTTTCAGATTGTTGTCTGAGGTGTTTTATTGTGTCTTGGTGCTGGAAAAAACCTATTTGGAGCTCTTATTCAGATTTCAGTAAAGCCATTCTATTTTGCCATGTAGTTATTTACTGGTAGAATTTATTGTTTTCCACTCATCAAGTTTTTAAAACAAAGAACTCAACACATGGATTCATAATTGTGATTGAAAGTCCATGGAGTACCTAATTTCCTTTGATCCTTTATGTTGAACAGTTCAGGCCGTGGTACTTGCCTTGATAATGAGCCTCCCAAGCGTGACTTTCTTTATCCAGCTGTGGCCCCAGGTCAGGTGTACGATGCTGATGAGCAATGTCGTTTCCAGTATGGAGCAACATCCCGCCAATGTAAATATGGGGTAAGAAGTCTTAATCCTTATGTTTAGCTATTTATATGTGTTTTTCATGACACAGATGTTAAGATATGTTCTTTTATGACAGAAATGTTAAGATACAGTTTTGATAAACATAGTTTAACTCTAGTAACATCATTAATGCAAATATGGCCTTTGACATTGCTGTTTTTCAGGTATCATTTGTGTAATACTTACTTCTAAATGTTTGGACAATCCTGAGTTAGACGCGTTTAAAATTTCTTTTGAGTTAATGCACATAGAATTTTAATAATTTCTAATGTATTTATTCATTAAGTCTTGAGTTTTTGATGCCAGCTTTGTTTTGTCTTTTGAAATATTATGGTTTTGAAATCTAGCCACTTCCCCCTTTTCTGGCACTCTTATAATTGGGTTAAAGGGTATTTTTATGCTGGCTGGGAGACTTGACTTTAATTCATACTTGCTAGTACTGAGTCATTTCAGGTTGCTTCTTCCACTTCCCACATTCCAACACAATGATTGAGGACAAGATGACATTAGCCCAAACAGTGAAACAAGAAAAATTGCTGAAGGGAAAAAGAAAATGTAGGCATCATAATTGACTCATCAGGTCAGCCTATAAAAGTCATGGTGTCTATACCAGAAAATGCATAAAAATATTCTTAGGCTTCATAGAAAGCTTGTGTTCCATATAGGGGCATGTTCATAGTAGGAACATAATATAAGCGTGTTGAATAAAAAAATGAGATTTAAAAATATCAAACTGTCAAAAAATATTCAGGTTTAAAACATAAGTTTAAAGGTTTGGTTCATATTTTTATACAAATAATGTTTTAAAAAATAATATGAAGAAAAGGAATTACATTTTAAGGTAGTTAAAACTAAACAATATACTCATTGTACTCTACCAGTTATTCCTCTTGGGCACAGTACAAAGGGAAGTGATTTTTTAATGTCCCTTGGGTGACAAATCTATTATTCTTAGTAGGCTTTGGCAGCACATTTTGTGCACTAGATTTAAAGATTATTTGCAGCTATCTGGATATCTAGAACACTGAGTAAAACTTTTGCCTTTCTTGTCTCTCTGTAAAGAATATTTACTTCTTATTTCTGTAGAGTTCTAGTTCCCCCACCCCCAACTCTCCACCCCCCCACACCCACTCCCAGTTCGCTTTTTCCCTCACTCATAGTCAAATTTTAGTCACAGTTTTTATGTATACTTGTAGGTTGAAAGACACGATCAAATGAGATTAGAGATTTTCTGTTAGATTGTTCTTACCTATGGTCTCTCATTTCTTTGTTAGTAAGTGAAATAGTTAATCTACATTTTAGTTGTTATATTGGAAATTGGGTGTTAACTCTACCTATGAATTTCTATATCAGATAACTTATACCATCAGCTTTATAGGATCTATGGATGCATTTTTTCTTTCTTAAATAAATTAACAAAAATTTGACCTTATTCTCTTATCTCCATATCTCTATATTTTATTCATGTCAGACTAACAAAAACAAACAAACCAAACAAATAGATGGATTCTGACTCATAGCGACCCTATGGGACAGAGTGGAACTGCCCCATAGGGTTCCCAAGGAGCGGTTGGTGGATTCAAACTGCAGACCTTTTGGTTCAGACTAGTTGATGTGAAGTGACATTTAACGATAATTAAGAAATTGTATGATTTTAGTTTATGTTCCTCATATTCTTCTTTTTGATTTTATTACGTGCTATGTTTATAAAGACTTCTGTAATAGGTATAAAATAAAATTTGAAAACTTGGGAAAAGACATAGCATTTAACAATTCTATACAACCTCAGGTATTTTATCATGAGAAGCCTTTTCACTTTGATTTTCAGTAAAATGTTGATTTTCCTATACTCGTGACAATATGAAAATGATTTTGTTATTTAAAAAATGCTATTTATTACTAACAAACTTTCTTTAGTCATAATAGATTCTTTACAGTCACTCCCATCTCTTAAACTTGTGCCTGAAAAATTGGGTTTACACAATTGATAGCACCAAAACCCACACCAAGTGTTATCTGATAAATCCCTAAGATTTTAAAGAATTCTAAATGCCACTTTAGAAAACAGTGGTGGCTTTATAGGTGTTGTCCAGTCACATAAACAAGGCATGCTTCAACTGGTAGCTGAAGGGAAAAACAAACTAGCCCTGCTTTTTAGATAGCTGTCTGAGTGTAGCATGCTGAGATGAACACTAAACACAGTTGCTGTTGACTTAGGAGAGCACCCTATGCGGCAGACTTTTAGAGGGGGGCTACTCCTGTTGTTGGAGCCTCATGAATTGACGACTCTTTCAGCTAGTAGGTCTCATTTATGATGTCAGGGAGAATTTTAAACTGCAGCATAGATCGGCTTTCCATCTCTCCCAGTTTGGTCATTGTGCAGTCATTGCTGGGATTACTGATGATTGTATCTATCGTTATTAAAAATCTTGCTTGAATTCTTTGTGAGTGGGTTCATTAATATACATGTTAGTCACATTTGATAATTTACATGAATACTTTTTTTTTTTTTAAATTTCAATTCAGGGCAACATTTTCCACTGGTCTCCATTTATATCATTAATTTATGGTTTCCAGGTGTTTTTAAATTCTAATAGAGGTAATGAGGAGATTGTAATGGCTATAAATACAAAGAATAAAATGTACGGTACAATATACAAAATAACAGTTGTATAATGCAGTAATCTATAAGTGATATATAGTTTCAGGTATTTACATAGTGCCTTTTATCGGAGATACTTCCAAGTGCTTTAATAAAAATAGTAATTATCTTAGAATATTTTATAGATGGGCAAACTAAAAATACAGGAGTGATCCTCCCTCCCCATGGTAAAATAAATAAATAAATAAGTGGTCTAAATCTGTCAGTTCTGTTTTCTACTAAGTGTTAATATGATAATTATATTAAAGGAAAGAAATAAAGATAGCAGATCTATTTTATTTCGGGAAATACTTTTTACTCAGTTTTTATCATGTAATATTTGTTTCTAAAAATCTTTTGAAAACTCCCTATCTTGTCCGTTTTCTGTGGGGAGAGAGACGATCAGGAGAGCTTCCCTAAACTTATTGCCTAAAATATTTGAAATGTTCTAAAGTACAAACATTGTTTAAATTCTCTTGTATCTGAAGTCCTGAATCTTGGGTTAGAGGGGATTCTTTTTTTTTTTTTTTTTTTTTACCTTATATAGAGAGTTAGAACCTTTTCAAGGCAAGATGCAAGTACAGACAAACAGCATGCAAAGTAAGATTGCTACTAGATAATCTAAAAAAAATCTGCTGGCTATGTTAGCAGATTTCAAAGGGGCCTTGGATGCTTCCTAGATGAAAGTACTTTGCAAATAAAACAGCATATCATATGTCCAAGTAATGTTTCTTTTCCTATTTAGGGTAACAAATAGTTTCTTATGAAGTTCTGTAGGATCTATTGTCTCACCCTTCTTTCAATTTCCATTAGTCTCCTCTTTCTTGTTAGAAAAGAAATATTAACAAAAAGCATATTACAATGATAAGAAGTTTAAACTTAGGAAGGAAGTCACTAATGAGCCTATGTACTGCAGAGGCTGTGGGTGATCTTTTAATTGCTTTCAAAAAGAACAGATTAATTCAGGACTCAGTCTCAGATTTAGCTTTGTATTCTTTATTCTGTCACTTTAAATCGTATTTTAAAATTGTTTTTTAATAGCCTTAATGGTTCAGTATAGGTTAACAATATCTAGTCCATAATTTGCTGGGTGACGCAAATAGTTTGCGATCAACTACTAATCTAAAGGTTGGTGGTTTGAACCTACCCAGTAGTGCCACTGAAGAAAGACCTGGTGATCTGCTTCTATAAAGATTACAGTCAAGAAAACCCTGTGGAGCAATTCTATCCTGTAACACATGGGGTCCCCATGAGTTGAAATCGACCTGATAGCAAAGGGTTTGGGTTTTTTTTTTTTTTAATCAGGCGATGAGAGTTCATCCACAGGTAGATTTAAGGCCCCACACAGTCTGAAAAATTTTATAGACATCATGAAACCAAACCCATTATAGTCGAGTTGATTGTGACTCATAGCAACCCTATAGGACAGAGTAGAACTGCCCCATAGGGTTTCTGAGGAGCGACTGGTAGATACAAACTGCTGACATTTTGGTTAGCAGCCAAGCTCTTAACCACCACACCACCAGCTTTGTTTAATTTATGATTTTCTATGAAGTTTGTCACTGTCACATAGACGTAAGAGTTAGCACATGAAAGTATAATGGTATATTGTACATTGTGGTGCAAACGGTTAACATGCTCGGCTGCTAACTGAAATGTTGTCGGTTCAAGTCCACCTAGAGGCACTTCGGAAGAAAGGCTTGGTGATCTACTTCTAAAAAATCAGCCATTAAAAACCCTATGGAATACAGTTCTGCTCTGACACCTACGGTTTATATTTCTCCTTAACATTTATCAGTTCCTAACATAATATTTATTTTACTTATCTTGCTTATTTCCTGCCTTACCCACTAGAATCTATTTTCCGTAGAGGCAGAGGGCTTTTCTGTTTCCTTCGCTGAGGAATCCCCAACACCAACAACAGTGCCTGGCTCATGACGGTCCTTAATAAATATTTGTTGAATGAATGAACTGACAATCATAATGAGTATGTAAACTCCATGAGGGCAGGGGTTCCACCCAGCTTGTTCCTGGCTGTTTATATAGTGAGTAGCATAATGCCTGGCTCATTGTAGGAGCTCATTAAGTATTTGTTGAATAAATGAAAAAGAAGAGTTATCTTGTGAAGAGATAGGGAAAGAGGACTGTGAAGACCCTGAGGCTATGTATTTGAATAGCTGAGAGAAGGCCCTTGTGGCTGAGGCACTCAAAGCAAGCACTACATAAATGAGACAGGAGAAGAAGATAGGGGCCAAATCTCACTGCACCTTATAGGCCATGTTAAGGATTCTAGGTTTTTATCTTAAGAGCACTGGGAAACTATTGAAGGGTTTTTATGAATGAGATCATAAGA